ACTGATTGTGGTTGACCTTCGACTTGTTGCTGAGGCCTACGAAGTCAAATTGCATGAATAAAATAACTGAGTCGAACAAATGAAAGTGGAAGAAACGAGATTGAAAGGACGCCTATACATTTAGATGTGAAGACGAGCAGAAAAAAAAAGGTGGCGTCAATTTCTTTATTTTATGTACAATTTAACCCTGAAAAAAATTGTCCATTAACAAATTCTTCTTTTTTTTTCCTCATTTTATATTTCTTTCAATCCTTGTACTCATCAGAGTAGGACGAAATCAATCAATATTGAACACCTTTCAGGCAATCAGTCATGTTCATTCTAATGTTGAATATATTGCGCAAGATGTACTACTTATTAGAGAGAGAGAGAGAGAAAGAAAAGAAATGAACGAATCAATCAATCTGACATTTTTTGTCATTTAATATTTTAATGTTACCCAAACTACTCTTATTTTACCTTAATGGTAATGAAATAGGTGTTGAAGCTTCAGGAAAATATTTGGCCATTTCAGCTGATGAATCCATACTTGAAATAGAATGAAATGAATTAGTTGTTTGTATACCACCTAATCTTTGAGTTGTTGGTGTACTGTATACTATTTTTGGAACTGATGCAATCGATTGAGTTGGAGTCAATTGTTGTTGATGTTCTGTGAAAACAGTTCTATTCGAATTGACTGGACCTTCAGCTAAAATACAAAAAAGAAACATTTAAATTCATGTCGGATTGTTTTTTTTTCTTCATGTTTTGAATAGGAAAAAAAATAATAAATTAAATGACTTTAATTTATTATCATTAAACCGTAAAAAAAATCTAATTATGAAAATAATGTAAACGTTAATGAGCAAATAATTATGATTTTACGTACAATATGATGTATATTGCTGTCCTTGATTTTCATAACTTGTATTATCATCAAGTTGATTATATTGAATTCCGTTCATTGTTTAAAATTTTTAAATATACTATTATTCTAATATATTTTTTTGTTATCCTCTTGTGTAACCTTTAAAGTATGTTCATGAACAATAAAGAAAAGATAAATTTTTATCCGCCGTCTCGCGTATCGAATGAAATATAATAATGATGATTTATGTCTCTTAAATGAAACTATATATGAATGATTGGCCGTTACACTTTACTGATTTTGTTTTACGTTGTCTACTCTTACTCTTTTGTTATTGTTTTTATCTCGTATTTTTATCACCAACATATATACATAAAGCGATTTAATTGTCATTGTAATTAGGAAGAAAAATTAATGATTGATATTTGGTTGTTTTTTAGGCATTGAAACGAGCAAAACAATGTACTAGTATAGCCTTACAAGATGAAAATTTAATAGAAACAAGTTTAGAATTTTATGGAAAAGTTTCACAATTACTCTTACGATATGTTGGTATTCGACCAACAGAGTAAGTTTTATTTTTTTATTTTTATTGTTCTGTTTATGATCTAGAAAGATTTTATTTTATTTTTTTTTTTTATTAAGATTAAAAATTAATTTTTCTTCTGAAGCACCATGGATATGGCGTTTATTACCAGATTATTATATTGATGATATATGGGATTTTCTTATGTCAGCTGCTTTGTATGTAAGATTTTATATAATGATATTAATACATATTCTATTATTTTAGGATGGTACCTCAAACATTATCAAAACGTAACATTGATGATATTTTAACATTAATGCTTTTTGTCATTTGTGCACCACGTCATTATATACAAAATCCTCATTTAATTGCAAAAGCTGTTGAAGTTATACATTGGTTATGTGCAAGAAGTGAACATACATTATTACGACAGGCAATAGAATATTTATTTAATCATCAATTAGCACAAGATTCACTTGTACGTGCATTAACAAAACTTTATGCTGGTATAGAAAACAAAATAAAACAATTATTTAATTTGTTTTTATAAATTGATAATTTTGTTTGTTTTTTAAACATATTTGTCACTATAGATGTTGAAACAACAGGTGCTGCAACAGAATTCTATGATAAATTTAATATTCGTTATCATATAAGTATTATATTTAAATATGCTTGGCAAAAAACATCATTTCGTCATTCTTTTTTAACAACAGCTAGGTAAAATCAAAATCAATATTGAATTATATTATTTTTTTTATAAATTTTATTTGTCTAGAGATGAAAAAGAATTTATACGTTTTTTAAATATGGCAATTAATGATGTTACATATTTACTTGATGAAAGTCTTCAATTATTAAAAAAAATTCATGATATTGAAACAGATATTGATAATAAAGAAGAATGGGAAGCAACTCCTATGGTAAGAATAACAAAATTTTTAAAAAGTTTCGTTTTTTTTTTTATTAACCCTTAAAAGTCGAGGTTGTTTTTTTTTAACAATGAGAAAATAGAGATTCTACACATTCAATATGATCATATTATTGCAAAAAGAAAAAAGATAATTTTTTTTTCTTACAAATAATTGTCTTTATTTATTCCACATAACACTAAGAACTAATTGAATAAAATATTTAAAATTTTTTAACATTGCACTTTTCATTTCATTATAACATTACACTATGAATCCTATCCAGTATCACGAAATCAATCTTATGGAAGACAAAAGAATCATCTGATGATTTCGCTACTGATCTCAGTTCATCGGCGAAGTAGCTACTGAATACTCTCCTAGAGTAGAAATAGGACAACTTTTGAATTGAAATAAAAATCAGTAACTTCATTATAGACGAAACAAATTTTTGAGTAATTGAGCACACTTTACAATTGAAAGGGCATGCGATCAACCTCTGATGAGTAGCGTAGCCAAGGTTAGACTAGATCGAGCAGCGTACTACTACCACAAGAAAGAAAAATGTAATAATTACAATCATTGACACTATATTACATAGATTTCTCTTAAGAGCGTAGATTTCTGCCCTACTACTCACGATATCTTGCTTGCAGCCTCACTATTTGTTCGAGTAAAAATAAAATTATGAATTTTAAAAACTCTGCTATACTGTCTGACAGTCATGTAAGAGGGATATAAGATCATCTTAATTTGGGAATATACTGATTTTTACATAAAAAATTTGATTAAGTCTACAATAACAATTACTACAATGTTCTTGAGAAGGAACATTCGGTTTTTAAGGGTTAAACATTCTTTTTTTTTTAAATAGGAAACACGTATGAATAAAACACAACAATTAAGTCAATATGAATCACAATGTTGTACATATTTACCACTTGGTATGGAAACATTAAATATGTTGCAATATTTAAGTGCCAATGAACCAGGTCCATTTTGTTCACCGGTAAATTGAATTAATTAACAAGAATATTTCTTATATTGTTTGTCTGTTTGTTTTTTTTTTAAAGGAATTAGTTGATCGTCTAGCAGCTGTACTTGATTTTAATTTAAATGAATTATGTGGTCCTAATTCACGTTTACTTAAAGTTAAAGAACCGAGTAAATGTTGTTTTGATCCAAAACGATTATTAGAAAAAGTTGTTGAACTTTATTGTAATTTGGTATAGAAAATTCTTAAATATGAATTTTCAAAAAACAAAAAAAAAATTCTTTTTATCTTTAAACAGGCACGTGATGAACGTTTTGCTGAAGCGATTACACGTGATGAAGTAAACAATCAGATTTTTGAATTTAATTGAGTGTATTTTAATTTCTTTTCTTAGCGTTCTTATCGACCAACTTTATTTAAAACAGCTATTGAACGTATACAAAATCGTCATATAACAACATCATCACGTCTTGAAATACTTTATAATTTAAGTCAACATGTTCAACGTATTGCAGAAGAAAAATCTAAAGAAGAAATGGATCTATCCGATGCACCCGATGAATTTCGTGGTAAATTAATATTATTATTATTAACCCTTTGGTGATGGATTCTCTTGTCATAAAAGCTTGTGAGAGTGTGAATATACACAGTAATCGCAAAAAGTCTCGAAACTTTAATCTTTTAGTTCTATATTTTGATCAGAAATAGAACATTTTAAATTCTGATCACAAGGACTAATCAAGACTTGATCGACCTTCACGTAGAGAAGCTCCAAGGTCAACATAGATTTTTCTTTCTTCAGACGAGAATATCTCAACATAAATAACAAATCTCATTCAATAGGTCAGCGCTGCTTCTATTACCAATAAAAACTCCATGTCAAACAGTTTTAGTTTGCCTGATTTATAAAGTATTCTCTACATGTAAATCTTTATAGAAAATGGAGATTAACACATTTCAATAGTAGAAAATCAGAAAAGTGTCAAAAAAGTTTTGTTTTTTTAATCTTAGAAGAAAAAAATAGTGTTTTCATCGCAAATTCTTTGTATTAATGCCTATTGATCTTGAATTCTTGCTTGCGATCACAGTTCACTGAGCTCTATTTTTAATCAAAATATCAGACGAAAGGATTGAAGTTTATATACTATTTACCCGGTAGTAGAACATCTTTCAGCTACTATACGTTTCACGTCGTCAAACAGTTAAAACATCTTTTTTTTTGTTTATTAGATCCATTAATGTGTACAGTTATGACTGATCCAGTCATTTTACCAAGTGGAGTTATTATGGACCGTTCAGTAATAGGTAAACATTTGCTCAATTCAAATACAGATCCATTTAATCGTCTTCCATTAACTATTGAACAACTTATACCTGGTAAAAATAATTAAATTTGAATATATAATTTTAAAAAAATAGATTCTTCTATTTTTTTAGCTGTGCAACTCAAAGAACAGATTGATAATTGGATACGCGATAAAAAAAGTCGAACAGTCTGAATATATAAAATATATCTTTATTTGAGTGTTTTCTTTTTTCCTGTTCGTTTCTGTGCTATATATATATTCCCAATGATCTTTCATTTTTATTTATTCAATTTATTGTGAAAGTTCAAAAACAAGAAAAAAAAAGTGAAAAGACTTCTATCTGACATCTTCACCCTTTTAAAGCCTTCTAGATAGAATAACATTTGACGACAAAAAAAAAAAGACAATAATGGATATGGAAGATGGTGTACCACGTCGACAACCGCTTTTTCGTACACAATCAGCTCAACAAGTTCATAAATTAATAAAAAAATCAACAAACAAAGAAATTCAATCAATATCAAATTCTGTAACTAGTCGATCATATGATGATTTAAATATAAACAAAAGTAAATCATTAGTTGATCTTGCTGTACCAGCATGTAATTCAACAATGAAAATTATTGATCAAATGGAAAATTTAAAATTTGAACAATTTGATCCTATTTTAACAACAACACATTTTGATCATATAAATGAACAGGTAGAAATTGATAATATTTTTTTTTTTTAATTTTCAATGAATTTTTAATATATATATATATAGGCAAATAAAAAATTAAATTATTCAAATGAACGAATTTATAAAGGTTTAATTGATCTTGAACCAAATACTGAAGAAATTCTTGCAGCAGCTGAGCAACAAGAATTACAAAAACGAAAACAAGCAGCAAAATTTTTAGTAAATTATATTAATTTTGTTTTTCTTTATCTTTAAAATATATTTCATTATTCTCTTTTTTTTTCAGGAAGAATATCAAACTTTACAAAAAAAACGTATTAAACCAGATATTATGGAATTATTTGATGAAACAACAATGATTAAACAAACAACACGTATTAATTTAAAACCATTAAAATCAATTAAAATGAAACCAAAACAAGCTACGATATATTCAACTAATAGTCTCAATCAAGCACAAACATTATGGAAAATATGATTCTCTTTTCTTTTTCTTTTTCTTTTTCTTTTTCTTTTTATACTTTGTCAGATTCTTCTTCTTTTTTTTGTCTTGTATGGGAACTGGAATTTTGTTTTTTTAAATAACTATATTAGTAATTTGTTTGAGAATGAATTATTATTGTTTTTGAAAAAAAAAACAACTAATAATACTTCAGATAGAATATACAATGGGAACTAATGGTGATATACCAACATTAATTGTAAGTTTTTATTGTATGTATGTATTTATTTATATTGAATTTATCTACATATCAATGTAGGTACTTGTCTTGGGCGATTCTAGTAAGAGTTTTTTTCTTTTGATTTGCATGATTTATATCGATTATTGTAAATGACAGGTGTAGGCAAAACTTCATTTGTTCATACGGTCTGTCATGATCAGCCTTTATCATCGCCACCACCCGTAACTGTTGGTTGTCATATTGAGATCAAGGTTCGATAATTATTACTGTTCGTAATATAATTTCAATTATTTTTTTATTAGAATAAAATATTCAGATTTTTGAAATCAACGACTTTTAATAAAATAGTATATATATACATATATATATGTATATTCATCAGTAAAAAATAAACTAAATTGAATTGCTAGTAAAGTGTTTGAAATGCAAAATTAAAAAAGAATTTTAAATGACTTTGCTAGATTCAGTTTTTTGCATTGAATCTAAAACAAACAGTTTTGAAATTTGAACGACAAAAAAATATTGACAATTTATCAATTACCTAAAATTGACCTATTTTTCATAAAATATAGGTCATTGGAAAAAAAATGAAATTTTCTCGCTGAAAACTCACTTGAAAAAACTGAAAACAACAATATTCTTGATCAGCTCATCACGCACTATCTAACCATATAAAACAAAAAAAGTTCTTTAATTTTGCATTACCGACATTTTACAAATAAAATAATTTTATCTAACTCTTATCCTACTCTGCAAAACCTTTATCCTTAGCTTACCCTGCAAAGTTTTTATGTCACTTTCTCTTAATCCTACAAAAGTTAGAAGACTTTAAAATTGATAAATAGCACAAATAGTATCACATTAGAGATTTAGAGAGTAAGCTATTTCCGTATTCGGTATCGGAGATGGGATCGATTTACGACTTTTTGGAACCGAATCGATTCTCTCTCTACTTTGTATCCTAAATGAGGAAATTTTTCTAACCCTTACTCTATTTATCCTGCAGTGCTAAATAAACCTTTTGAATGTCAATTCTATGAATTTCAAAAGAACACTTCACTATTGTAAAATATTACGATTCACTTTTCGAAATATTTTTGAAAAACCCTATAAAATTCTCCATGAATGATGGTTAACTTTATAATCGTTTTTTTTTCTAACTGTAATTAAATTGAATTATTTTTGTTTCTATCTAGCTATATGAACGACGTGATCGACATCAAAATCCGAATCTTTTTTTTATTGAATTTCATGATGTTGGTGGAAGTATACAGCATAAAAATAGTCGATCATCGATGTTTTATGATGAATTTCATGGTAAAAAAAAGCCATATCCAAGGATATTTTTTTATTTCTCATTTATTCTTGAAATTTTATAGGGATTATACTCGTATCCGATTTAACTAGTCGACAATCGTATGATAATCTCAAAGAATGGCTTTATGAAGTTATTCGTTATCGATCACGACAAAAGCTGTAAAAGAAAAACATATCTTTGCTTTTGTTTTGTTGATTTAAGCTTTTTTTGTTTTTGTTAGTCCAACAGAATTTACGCCCGAAGTATTACAAAATTTCGATATACCACTTCTATTAGTTCATACAAAATTCAATGAATCTAATGGAACATCATTATTAAATAATAGTAAATCATCAAATATGACAAATAATCATTCATTTTCATCAAGTAGTTTATTACCAAATTATAATCGAAAAACGACACTAGCCAATTTTTTGAATTGTGATGAAATATTTATCGTAAAGAAAAAAAAACAAGCATATATTTTTTCTTTAAAATAACAGATTATTATCTATCTATTTTATAGGATTGTTATTCCAATAAACGATTTTCAATTGATACACCTAATGTTGCTAAATTAAATTCATTTTTTGAAAAAGTATATATTCTTTATATTATTCTTTAAATAAAAAATTCTTTTCTATTTCTTACAGATGATAAAAAAAGCGTCAGTAGAACCAGTAGAACAAGTAATTAGAAAAAAAAAACCATTGTTTTTTAAAATTTTCATTTCTTTTTTTTTTCTAGCTTCCACAGTTTGATTGGTTCGCTTCAGAAAATCATTATATCCATTAATATAGATATTTATATATCTTTTCAATTTATTTTTGTTTATCTAATTATCACAATTGCTGCGGAAAACAAATAAATGTGTATCAATATTTCGACGATCCAAATTCAATCCGTCGATTTTTGTTAGGATAGTATTTAAAAATAAATAAAATAAAACTATAAAGATTTATCTTCACATTTTAACAGAAAATTTTGAGCACGATTAAAATATAAAGTATAATGAAATTGTGCTCACAATAGCATTTTTTCTTTTATGTTGAAAAAGCAGCTCGAGTGCAACATCTTTTTCTCGATAGACTCTCAAACACAATATTCATTCATGTATTGATATGTATCATGGTCTATGGATGGTGTATAACTAGAGTCCATCGGATCCGAGACCAACGTCACAGATTCTATGTACAACATCAAATATGTTGCCATAAAAATATATATACATATATCGTACCTTCTTCGCATTGACATAAAGTTTATTATAATGCAACGGAAGGATTTTTACATGATTCACAATATCAACAAATGTGACACTTTGAAATGGAATAAATCTCATCGATTAGTAAGAACAAATTGAGTTCAATACAATGATGATAATACTGTTTGCAAATTTTTATTGAAGATCGTCTCTATTAAAGACATTCATAACTGATAAAAAGAAATCGATTGAGAATGATTTGATTTAACGTTTTTCATAAATTGTCAATTGTTTATGTCATTGAGGATTCAATAAAGTAATAAAGAAAAAAAAATACTTTGCTAATTTTCATTTATCTTAAACTAGAATTATATTTTACGTTAAATAATAATAATATTAAGTATTTTCTATTTCTACCATAGGCATAAGACTTAGATTATTTTATTCGTTTTTCTCTCTAGTTATGTTCTATCGAGAAGGTTTGATTAATCTTGATGTCATGTTTTATCAAGTCATAAAATACCTTTAACAGAAATGTAATTCAAAAAGAACAACGAAAAACAAAATGAAACAAGCCATATCTTAAAAGGAATGAACAACTATTCAAATATTTCTTATATTAGTTGATCGAGATTAACAATTATATAGTATCAATTTAAATTTGTCATCGATTGATTAAATAGTTACTCATAGGAAACAATGTTTAAATAGAATTAAATGATTTAAGAGAAAATTTATTAGATAACTTTCATAGAATAAAAATTCTTTCAAAACTTATTTGTAATTGAACTTGCTCATCATTAAAACTAGTGTGCTAATGGGTAACGCAGAAGTTTTGTATTAATGTTGACATTGACATAGCATTACAATGTAACATTATGCAGATTTTATCCTTTTCTTTGTTAGAAAAAGTAAAATGTCTAGTGTACAAATATATAAAAGAATTTAATCGGAAATATTTTCTGAAGCAATCAATTTGGTGTTTATAACGCAAAAAAAACAAAGTTTTGTCTGAATACCTCACAAAGAAGCTGTGTCGTATTTCAAATAATATTGTTTAGTAGAGAGGTCGATAAATGTCTTTTTTTTTCATATCAAATATATAGATCTTTAAATAACTTCTCTTTTGTTGTAGAATTTAATTTTCTTTGTCTGTGATTCGTAATTACGAACAATTGGTGGTATCAGAAGATATTATAATAATAATGTTCATACCGTCTGTTCATCGAATTTTTTTGTAGTGTAATAGTCTCCTATCCTTGCCTTAGAAAAGAAAATCTTTCATCTTGTATGAAGGTTTTTTTTTGCTAAATTCAATAAAGTTGCAAAACAATTTTCTAATATCTTTAGTTCTAAGATTTTTCTGATCTTCAGAAAACATCTCCAATCTAATTCTTCTCTATATACTTTTGTACTAGATATTTTGCTCTTTCAAAAAGGAATACGACTCTACGATATTGTATTGCAATGCTATATCAAAAAAACAAATTTTGCTTCCTCCATTAATTGATTTATCCTTCCTAATAAGATCATTTTTTTCCTTTTCTTGACAAATCATTCAATTACTTGACATGTTTGAACACAGAATTAATATTATTAATCAAACTTATTTCAAAATTGATTAAAATATTTTATGAGCTACACACTGTCATGCATTGTTTAAAAATATTTAACTATAAATATTAATAATCAAAGCTTTCAATAAAACCAAAATTTCAATGATATTCATTAACCTATCAAAGAAATAAATTGCAACGAAAAAAAAATGAGAAATAAAAGAAAACAATATCCGTATTTAAAAGATTATCTAATGGTTTTTTTCTGTTAAACGCATCTTTTCTGGTTTTTAAACGTGCATTAAAAAAACAACAGAAATAAAAAAAAACGAAAAATCACATGATTGAATGAGTTTTGCTGTTTTAATGGACTTATTATTGTAGTAATAATGCGACCTAGAAAAAACTAAAATAAATACAAAAAATTTAAACTTTTTTTTCGAAATAAACCTTTTCGGGATTCATTTGTGGACATTTCCAATTGTAAATATAATATTGAAGATTTCCATCACCAACACCAAATTTAAGTTTTTCTAAAAATTCTTTATTATCCATTACATCAAGTGCATTGAATACATCGACATCATTCTTAAAAATTTTGAAACAAAAAGAATAAAAATAAAAATAAACAAATATTTTAATTTACATTGTGTGCATGTATAAGACAATCATTAACAAGATCAGGAAGTGGTGTACGACTTGCAGCATAATAATACATATAACATGCATTTAATGTTTTATATTGTGGATGACTCATAATTGTTGATGATAAATGATAATAAGATATAAAATCTGTTATTTCACCATCTTCTTGCTTTAAAATAAAATACAAAAAAAAAATCCAGATTTGAAAATTTTGTTTTAATTAAATATTTTTATTTTTACTTCAACAACAAATGAGCTAACAATATTTGAACGATTTTGGCATAGATATTCAAATTCTTCTTGAGTAAATACAGGTGACAAATCAAATTGTTTTAAATACTAGAAAAAAAAAAAAGAATGAAAAAGAATTCTTCACTTTTCTACAATTGATTTACTTGAGTAAGCAGAGCAAAAGCTTGTGGAACATCCGATTCACGCATTACACGAAAACCTTTTACATGTGTTTCCTATTTAAATAATAAAATAAATTTAATAGGTTTGTTTTTTTCTTTTAAATAAAATGAAAAAATCTTTACTTCGGGTAATCGATAGAGTTTTTGCATTCTTTGTAATGTCATATTTCTGCCCAAATAAGAAAATTTAACAGCTATTAATTTTTTGACATTGAGTGATCGATGCCAATATCTATTTTAATTGTATATATGTTTTTATTATCGAAAAACTATGTTAAAAATAATTTACATACCTACATTTACCAACAATACCTGGTAGAACAACACCAGCTGTGTAAACAGCTTGAAAGATACCTTCCAAATTAACACGTCGAGTTATTTCTTTAATTAAAACAGGTGCCATACGTTTCAAACGTAATTTTTTGTGTACACACAAAAAATTGATTTCAACCATTTGAACTTCCCTTATGAAGAAAATTAAATATAGTAATTAATAGATATGAAAAGAAACAAAAAAAAGCCGATGTATTTATGTTAACATCATTTGTTTCAATTTCGTTTCATCCAAATATTCTTTTTTTTTTTAGGTATTGTCTATCATTAGTACTTAAAATTATCCCTTATCTATTTCCCATATACAAACTTGTTACTAAACACAATTATTTACAGTTGATTGTCATATTTTCTAGTCTAAGAATAATAATGTTTGATAGTATGTGTAATGGAAAATTCCTAAATAAATGCAATACTAAATGTGATTCAAACTGCTGTGTATTTATTGCTGAGATATGAAATTTTTAGTGGATTTTTCCTGTAGAACTCTAGTTTATACTTTTGATCTAATCAAGATATACTGAGTGAAAAAATTCTAACATTTTTTCTACAAGCTAGTATAATTGCTACCTTTCTGTGAGTAAAGTTTCAGATCAAATTCCAAAAGTATGATTTCGTTTGAAAACTAGAACCCTATAGGAAAAATTCCCTATGTCAATCAAAATTTACTTGTCTTCATTTCTTTTTTATTAATGTAACAAATCAAATGAAAAATTTAGTCAAAAATATTTTACTTGTCATAAACTTTCATTTTAATTGGTACAGCACTAATAAAACCGACCATTTTACGACTTTTTGTTACACGCAAAGCTACATGCCATTTTCGAATCCATCCTGGTGCACATAAAGCCCTAAAATTTATTGTTTAACAATTATTCTTCTATTATTAATTTTCAATAAGATTACCATCGTAAAAATGGCATTGAATAATCAAAACGAAACATATTGTCATCATCTTCCACATAGTTTTCATTTAAAAGAACATATAATTCTTTTAACTAAATTTAAAAAAAAAAGCAAATAATCATTAAGTTAAACTTCTTTTATTTTTTCTTTTTGTTTTACTTGTTCATCCTCAAGTATATCAACATCATCCCATATAAATCCATCTGGTAATTTATATGGTTCTGCTTTGAGTTCTTCAAGAAGTTTGTTTGGTTCTACAGGTCCATTATTTTCTGATGTTACTCTTGTTCCAATACTTGGTACAGGTTGTGTATGCCAAAATTTCCATTCTTGTCTCGATGCAGCTTCTTCATCAGATTTTGGTGCACTTCGACTATTATTAGCAACACTAGCTTGTTCAGCTAGAACGATTTTTTTTAATAAACTTTGTACTGATTCTGTTGAGCGTGCCTATTTTGAAAGAAAAAAAAATATATTAAAAAAGATTTCTAATAGAATTTTTTTTTTCTTTTACATTATTATTTTGTCCACTTCCATCAGGTACATCAGTCGTTGCAGCAGTAGAAGCTGCTACAGGTGTTACTTTGTCCTTTGTTTTTTTTTGTGTTGATTTAGTTGTTTGATCAACATCTGATTCAATTTGATTAGTATCTTTAAGCTCAGCTTGTTCTTGTTCGGCCATGATTATAAAATCTAAAACAAGAAGAATGATTGTTATGATAAATGAGCATTAAGGTAAGGAAAGACGAATGCAAAAGACCTTCAACAAATACAAATATCTATTGACATAATTATAAAAAATGAGAAAAGATATAATGTCAACAGTTATTATACATAAAAAGAATGACGAAAAAGTTGGAATTTTTTATTTTGGAAACAGTTTTTGTTTCCTATATTTCTTAGATGACGCTGTATGTATTTTTTTTGTTGATGGATGTAGAGGTTTAAAATAAAAATGAATCTGATTTGTAAATTTTCGACCATTGATTGAAGAGAAATGTATTTATTTATTACTTCTTTCTTTCGTTCGCTTTTTTGACAAAGACTTAGTCTTTCACAATATTTTGCTTTTTTTTTTTATTTGTAATTGTAAGAAAAAAATAGAGAGATAAAAAGATGAAACTTGTTCGATTTCTTATGAAATTAACTCACGAAAGTGTTACAATAGCACTTAAAAATGGTTCCAATGTTTTTGGTACAGTTATCGGTGTTGATATGTCAATGAATACACATTTAAAATCAGCTAAATTAACACCAAAAAATGGTGAACCAATTTCATTTGATTTTATTACTATTCGAGGTTTGATCTTATTCAATGAATATAATTATAAAAAAAAATTAAATTTTTATGTTGTTTTTTTCTTAGGTAACAATATTCGATATTTCATTTTGCCAGATAGTCTACCATTAGATACATTACTTGTTGATGATACACCAAAAACTAAACCTAAACGTGAACGACCCGGTTTGTATAAAATATTTTAATATTTGTATAAGAGTTAATTTATTATTTGTTTTAGGTCCAACTGGTATGGGAACTAGAGGTATGTGGAAAACGTTTTTTTTTTCTTTTTGTTAAATTTTTTATTTTGTATAATATAGGTCGTGGACGAGGTCGTGGTCGTGGACGAGGTCGAGGAGGTGGTGGTGGAGGTAATCGTGAAGGTGGTGGCTTTGGTGGTCGAAATCGTTGATATTAATATATCAAAGAGTATGATTGACTTAATGGCAATGCCCGTTTTATTGTCAAAAACTATCTTGTTCGTTGTTTGTTATATTTCACTATTGTCAAAGAAAGAAAAAAAAAAAAGATCTATTCTAGACAAAAAGAAAACCACATTTTTGATTTATTATGAACTCAATATATGGGTAGTGTACTGCTTCAATTTTATTCTAGCAAAAAAAAAATCTTCTTCGATGAAATTTATACAAAAGTACGGAGTACAGTCTAGAAGTCTCGTAAAGTCTTTGAAATCGTTAGTGAGTGTGATAAACTTGGTTAGAGAAATGTTTGTATGATGTTATGATAGATTGGTCTTGATGTGTTATATTGAAATATGTCTTTAACTTATGACACAAAATCAAAGAAGAGACACGTATAGGTCACAAGAACATATGCAAGAAAGTAACTCAATATTTTATTACTTGTCTTGCAGATCATGAAAAAATAAAACTCAATATTATTTTCTGTACAATCAAATTATTAAAGCATCATTAATTAATGCATAATAGAGTTCATCATAAGAAATAAGTCCATCTTGATTTTTATCTATCTCAGATATAACATGATAGAATTCTTCTTCATTAAGATGAATATTAAATTGTTTAAGTAATTGTTTAAAGGCAATTTGAGTTAAATATCCTTGATGATTTTTATCGATCATTTTAAACACGCGATAGATATTTCCATAATTCTGTACACACTAAATCAAAAATAAATCACAAGTCAAATCTATATTCTTCTATTTTTGATTTATTTACTTGAGAACGAATTCGATTAAGAATACAATTAATTGTAATTGGTGAATATGTCCAAGATTGCTTAAAGAATATAATTATTTCAATAAGAATATTTATCTTTTTTTGTTTTTGTTTTATTATCTTACTTTTGATTGAATAACATATGTTGAACGAGAAAAAATATTTTGATTAAGATTTTTTAATGATAATTGATTAGAAAAATGTTGCATAAAATCAAAATAATTAAATTGTCCATTAGCTTTTGGTGAAAATAATAAAGCAAGTTCACATTGTTGATTATCATTCAAAGGAAAACAATATTTTTTCATTAAATTCTATGTAAAAAAAAAAGAAGCCGTTAGCGCAATCCTTGCAAGATTAACATGTGAAATACAATGAAGCTGCTGGTATTGTAAAAGAGGGTATTAATCTCAATTTATGATTTCCTACCTACTCTTAATGCATGTCGATAATGAAAGATATTGATCGCAATATATATATATTGCAATGTATATCAAAAACGAAACCGATCGGTCTGAAATTCGTATTGGTTTCATTTCTGATGAGCGTGAAAGAAAAATACAGGACAACTATCGTATTAATCTTACAGTGGACTTTGATCTCACAGTGATAATCTCTTAATAATGTTGGTCACGTTTGTGAGGATGGAATGAGTCTAAATTTCTACCTCTACCCTTCGACACTTCTTTTAGATTGTGTTTCACAAAAAGATGAATACATCTTTAAAATACATACAATGGCTTGATCAATAGTAATAAATAGTCGACCATATCGATCGAGAGAACTATATAAAAGAAATTTTTTTTTTTATTTCTAAAAAAAACCGATGAATTTACTTACAAAAATTCATCTTTCAAATTTTGCCAATATTTTTTAACTATATGATTAATACGTATTGAATAATTTAATATTCGACATTGATTTGATGATAATAGATTATCTTTTGAACAACCGATTGAGTCTCAAAAAAAATATATATATATATAATAATACGAATTATTCTTAAAAAAAATCTTACTTTGATTATTTTCTAACTGACATGGAACAAAATTTTGAAGAAATATTTCATAAGAAATACCTTTAGTAGATGGTTGACATGAATTCCATAAAGATTCAAGATTAGAATTATTAATTACAATACCTGAACTAGATTATGTAAAAAAAAAATACTATGACTTAATTTTTTTGTTTTGATATTTCAAATCAATACCTTCGTAAAATACGTTCAAATGTTTGTTTATTAATAAAATTATTTTTTTTACAATATTGATGAATAATAGACATATGATTAATAAAATATTTTTGTAAATAAGGTTTTATTTCATCAAGATATAATAGTTTTTTCTTTGAGTATATATTTGAAACTGATTTCCAATTACGTAAATTATTAGAAAACGTAGAAAATTCATTCGATTGCTGATACATATGTAATCGATTGTCAAATATATTATTTTTATCAAGAGTTCTCATTGTATTCAAATTGTTTTATAATATTATTATGATCAATGTTTGATGCATGAAAATTTTTCATATAAAGAAAAAAAAAACGACTTAGCAACTGATAAAAGCTTTTATAGTTTTCTAATTAAACAAATATACATGTAAATTCGTTTTTATTTGCTATAATGTAAATAAGATTTTTATTGGTTATATTGTCAATTAAAAACCAACATTGACTTTATTTTCAGATTTATTTATTATGTTTGATTAAAGACCGATAAAAAGTAAATTAAGTTGTTTTTTTGTATTTACAACCAAAAAAGAAGAAAAATTCGTATGTATTTTTCTTCTTATTTTGTTTCATTTCTCAAGCTGAGTGGGTATACGATTACAATTTTCTATGCTCTTTTCATTATCTGATTGTTTTATATCAATAGCATCTGGATCTCGACATAGACCAGTAACATTTTTTACATTATCTAAATTTAGTTTTAATGCATATGCATGATTTGTTGTATGATGTGGTTCAGGATCAAGATATTTAGGTAAATATTCATAACATCGCCAACCACATTTTTCATAGAATTCAAGTGCAATTGTATTTAATGTATTTACATGTAAACTTATATATTTAATACCATTTTGTTGTTCATTTAATGCACGATAAATACTTTGTTGTAAAAGATGTGTACCTAAACCTTGTCGACGATATTCTTTTCGTGTTGCCATATGACATATATAAAGATTATCGAATGAATTTTTTTGTCTTGTTAATATTATTATTGCACTTATATTAGCTGTAATTGATGTTGCATTAAGTGGAACAAATACATATGCAATACCATTATTTTGCATACAATTTATAATTGCATACCAAAATCTAGCATTTGGCATTTCAAATAGATCACGTAATGTTTTTTCAAAGAAAAACCATCGTTGATAACTATCATACATGATAGAATTATTTGATAATAGATTTAATTCATACAAACGATGAGCATTTTTATAATCAATACCAATACGAATAAATTTAATATTTGTTGCTCGATCATATAATTGAAGTTTTGATGACATTCTAATTTAATATATTAATAATCGAGATGACAAAAAGAAAAGACAAATATAAAATGTAATTTTGTTTTCTTACTTGAGTGTACGAGGACAACATAAATATTCTTTACTACATTTACCTTTTTTTCCATAACATGATCGACCAGGTATAGAACATTGTGCTGAAAAAGTAAAAGTCGATACGTTAAATATCGAAAAAGCTGGTCGACCATTTGAACAATAATAAACAGAATAATCAGATTTACAAGGTACAATCACGATCAATAATAATAACGCAAAACATATTGATAGAAACATTGCTTTTTTATTCAATGAATTATTTTATTGGTTCTATTTCGTACAAGAACAAAGAAATTTGATCTGCGAACACATCAGTACCAAAAAGAGTAAAGTTTCAAACAGTACATTTTTCAGATAAAAATGACAGTTTAAAAATAGCTCATTTAATGAGTTTCATTGTATTGTTACTTTGAAATTCTACTAAAAGATTTGTTGCACTAAAGGAAATTTTGAAATTTATTTTCATTATTCGTTTATGATAGTTTCGTCAAACTAGTCTATAGTGACTATTCTATTTGTTTACGAATATGTTTTTTTTTTCTTTTTCATACATCTTATATAAGAGACACGAAAAGACGAAGAATGACTAGAATATATTTTGTTTTCTATCTACAATTGTTTATATCGTTCTATCATTCGTTATGTTCTCGATGGATAGTGCATGAAAAAGAATAATTTCATATATTGAAATAATGGATCAAATTGATAATAGATCAAGTACAAATATTCGACAACATACATTCTCTGAAATGATGCAACAACATATAAGTAGTGATTTTTCATTTCAATATTCACCTAATTGTGAGAATTAAAATAAAAATTATTATCTTATTTTATTTTTTTTTTAACTTTATAGATTCGGATCAATTTCTTCAACAAAATTCTAATGAAGATATTTCCATGATACAATCATCAAATATAGAACATGAACAAAATGAAAATGAACAAACATCAATGCCTATTATATATAAAAAACGTGTACGAACAAAATTTACTGAAGAACAGGTATAATAGAAAAATATTTGAAAATTTTCTTTTTCATTTATTTTAAAATTTCAAAACAAAATTAGTTAAATATACTTGAATCTACTTTTCAACAACATCGTTATCCGACTGTTGATATTGTTGATGATCTTGTTGAATTACTTAATTTACCTACACAAAAAATAACGGTAATATAAAATCAAACAAAAAAAAAATATTTTGTACTCTTTTTTTTTTGTTTAGATTTGGTTTCAAAATCGTCGAGCTCGTTTAAAAAAAAGTCAACAAAAATTTGATGATCAATATTCATGTGATAAAGATAATCAACAACAATATGATAGTGGCATTCATTTGGTATAATAAATAAACTAATAAAATATTTTAAATCTATGTTATTTTTCAGGATGATGATATTTCACATGATTCTCCAGGAAGTCCTCCAGCTAATTCATTACTTCCATTGCCACCGCCACCACCACCCCCACCTCCACCACCACCATTTATTACTCCACCATCGTCATATTATTTTCCTCATTCTCATCATTCGTTTTATAATTCAATGTGGCCAAATTTTCAGTAATAGAAAATTTAAACAAGAAAAACGAATCTTTTTCTTTTAATTCTTGTTTTTTAGTTATCCATTACCACCAAGTTCTTTCCAACCAACAATGATTAATGCTACTAATATGCCATATAATCTAATGAATTATAATTCGTGTGAAATATCTTCACCATTTGTTTTTCAAAATGTGAGCAATTATCAACATCAAAGAGAATTTAACGATGAACAATAAATGATAAATTATTAACTGTTTTTTTTTCTTCTCCTATCTTTGTTTTCTTTATTATGTCTGGAATCTTTTTCTTGTTTTTTTTTTTTGTGATATTATTGAAAATTTTCTTTTCGGTTTATTTTGTAATCATAAGAAGAAGTATATTTATGTATTAAGAATTAAAAATAAAAATTTGATTATAAACAAACAATTTTATAACAAATGAATCTAGGCAATTCTTTTATTTACAAACAAATTTTACTTTAAAAATCTTAAATTATAAGAAAATAAATATACTTCGACGTATTAATGTGAACTTTATATTTGTTGACCTTAAGATTATTGTATACAATAGGAAAACAGAAATCGTATCGATGCTGTCATCTCGTAATTTAATGAGATTCTAATTGCGACAATAAAAAGAAAAATACCATAGTGTTCTGGATAGGACAAAACAATAAGGAAAATGAAATAGTATGATTTTAATTATTTATTTGGATATTAAAGAAAATGATAATGAGAAAATTCCATAAGCTTAGAAATGCCTGTAATAATTCTTTCATAATTAATCTATCTTTTGATAGTAAAAATGTCCAGAGAGACTAAGTACATACAATAACAGTTATAGTTTCAGGCTACTAGTAACTTTTATTAATAATGTAGATTTTATTCAAAAGCAATGAGTTCATTCAAATAGGATTCAGGATAAAAGTTGTTAATTACGTTTTTTTTTCTTCTTCTTTTTGATGAATAAAAATTTAGTTTTACTTTTTTTGCTGTTCATGAATAATTCTAAAAGAAAATTCATGGAGAAAAAAAATAAATATTCTTATAATAATCCTTCTAGTTTTGATAAAAATTATAAATATTGAAGGCTTATATTTTTAAGCGTCTTAAATAAATATGATTGGTAGTTTGTAATCATATAATCTATTCATTTATTCAATAAATGTTACTATTCCATTTATCATATTTCGATAATATCTAATATACGTATATATAAAAGAAAATCGCTATTATATCAAATTATTATTTGAGTAGTTTATTTATAGTATGAAATGAGATTGATGAATTTTCTACTTTTTTTTTTATTGTTGAATCAAATTTGATCTTATTTTTTTTACAAATAAAATGATTATTAAAATAATGATATATATATTTATTATTAGTCAAATATATTCAGTGCTACAATAAAATATGTCTATGCTCATCTCTTAATAATAGGTATAGAAAATTCGTCATTTATCATTTGTGTTAATTATTATAGAAGATAGATTTTTTTTTTCATTAATCTGCGAACAATATGGAAACGAACCATTTGGTAATTAATCTTCCGTATCAAAGAATAATAAAAGTTTTTAATCGACTTAAGTGTTTTGCCTAGTATCAAAGTGTTAATGGATTTTTTTTTTATATCTAAAACATTCATATTAAGACTTTTTCGTGTGAAAAATTTTTATTTATATTATTCAATTGAATAACTAACATAAAATATCAATATTCCAATGTTGATATTCCAAAATAAGAACATATGCTTTATTCTATTGACTTTTCCATATTGCTTTGTATATTTTAATCTGGTATTTTTGTTTCTCATTCAATGACCATGACATTTAGCAGCAATGATTTTCTTATTATCGAGCATTCATAGTTATTGACGGTATCATTCAAACCTATATTCAAGTTGATGGATTCTATTATCCTTTCAATTTTGTTTCGATCTCTAATGCAATTGTAGGAAATATGATAAAAAAAAAAAACCTTAAGATGCAATCCCTATCGTCTTTATCATCAATTATTGATGACATATATGTGCGGATTTTTTCCTACTGAATAGATGCATTGGACTACTCCCGACTGGTTCCGCCTTCAGTCTTACTCTGATTATCAGGCCTATAATATTTATTAGAGATTACGAATAAAGCCTATTCCACTTTGAGACGAGTCAAGGCTTTCTTGACTCCTGATTTTATCCTGTTTTTTAGTTATTATGTGGTCAAAAGAAATAACATTAAAGAAAAAAAAAGAAAAGATAAAGATAGTGAACGAAAAGAAAAAAAAACGAAAGGAACTAGAAGAAAGAAAAAAAAAGAAATCTTGTTTTTTTGTTTAGTTCTAAAGCTGACATTCAGCAGCCACATCACGTTGAGCATTATTGTCATTTTTAGGATTTGTTCTCATTGTTGTTAATTTTGATTCTTTATCACCAACTACGATACCCGGAGTACGTTTTAATATTGTTGTATTATTTCGAGTTCTTTTTCCATATAAACAATTTGATTTAATAGGCCGTACCAAATAACAACCTGATAAGAAAGAAAAAATACAAACATATAATAGAAAACATCGTTAATTAAAAATAATGGAACTATTAATGAATAGAATTTTTTTTTTTACATATACGCGAATAATTACCATATAATAATGGATCTAAAACAGAATTTGATACAGCAAGCATCATAACAATTAAAAGTGAACGTTCATCACGTGATGGTTCATCATAAATTGATATATTTATAGGTGTAGTTAGTGTAAAATTTGTATGTTGATTTGATAAATTATCATGATCAATACGAGCATCAGTTATAAGAAGAAAAAAGACAATACAATAATAAGGTGTCCAACAAAGAATAAAACAAATGACTAAAATACAAAAAAAAAAAAAAGGAAAAACATCATTGAATTTTATTTTCTCTTAAGAAAAATTTTACCTATTACTACAGTTAATTTTAATGTTTTTAATTTTGCTCGTGTTATTGTTTTTATATTATGGGTATTGATTTCTTGTTGTAATATAGATTGTCTATGTACTTTTCTAGTTCCTCCTCGTCCTCCTTTTTCAAGATGAAAACTTTTTGTTAGACTTGATTTTAATGGAAAATTTGATTGATTTATATCACAACTACGTGTACTAGCACTACTAGAACATTTAACAAATCGAAATGTTCGTCGATCGCATCGTCTTTGTAAAACATATAAAATACGAAAATAAGAATAAAAAATCGTTATTAAAGGCGCTATATATGCAAATATAGCAACAGCTATATTATAAACCAAACGTTTTACTGGATAAGCTGACAGTATATCACCACATATTTCACGACACAATGCTTCATTTGTTAATCGTTTAAAAATGATTAACTATTTTCAATAAATAAAAAAAAAAGAAATTTTATTTCAAAAACTAACTATCAAATATTAAAATTTACTTGTGGTATACATGCTACTGCAGATATTAACCATGAACCAACAACAAATAGCTTATTTCGTATATTTGATTGATAGACAGTTAATGGATGGACAATCGATAAGTAACGATCAACTGATATACCAATTATTGTACATGATGATACATAAATACCAAGGCCTTTAAGTGCAGCAATAGCTTTACATATTTCGTCATTATGCCAACGACCAACAGTGTACGCATAGATTTCACTTGGAATATAGACAATTGTTACGAATAAATCAGCAGCACATAAATTTAATAAAAGTATATGATCACGAAAACGACGTCGAGAATAATGAAATAACTTGAAAAGAACACATAAATTAGCAGTTAAAGCAAGAATAAATAAAAAAACATAGCCAAGTGCTAACCAATGATAGAAGGGTGCATCGGGACCTTGTGTTCCTAGTTTAGGACATGTTATTCCTGATAAAGACGATGTATTATATAGCATTATTAAAGTAATATCAAGACAAATTTTCTTGTCGTGCTCATCCAATGAATTTTAAAATTGTAAATAATATTCTTTTCTCAATATTAATCTTTTTCTTTTTTTTTGTCTATCTTCTTTTTTCTGTCTCTCTCTCTCTCTCTCTCTCTCTTCCTTTTTCTCTGTTTCTCTCGTGTTCTTTTTTTTTCTAATTCTCTGGTTCTTTTTGCCGTCATAAAGTATAAGACATCAACTGCCAAGCATTAGAAGTTCGTTTTTGGTAATAATGAGGGTCCACAGTGTACATGATCAATCAAAGGAAAAAAAGAGGAATAACTTGTGATTCTTTCTGAATAGGAAATAAAATCAATTACGAATGACAGCATCTCCTAACAGCCCATTGATAAGAAACATATACAATAGAAACAAACAGATTCTCAAATAACAAAAACCACCAAAAGTACTTGTCTATTATAAGTAGTAATAGATACAAAAATAGAATCTACATATGCTTGAAGAAAACAATTTAAGGCATTACTTCCTGCTGTAATTCACTTATAACTACAAGTAATTGAATATTAAAGAAACATCTAATTTTTATTTTAAGAAATATCCTATACATTGAAATTCTCTTTGCCTTATCATTATTACTATCACGATTGTAACGAATTGATCGTTAGATATGCATGCATGAATTATTAATTTTTTTTTCTTATTTCGTCGTTTCGCTTGAAATATACTATATTTTTATCTCGATAGATACCACCCAGGATGACAGTTGTTAGATATGCATATGTTGATTCGTCAAAATTATAACACCAAATTCTCTTGAGCAATAACCTCATCATGTAAAAAATAATAGAAAATTATTACAAGACAAGAACAAAAAAAAAATATACAAATATAAAAATGTAGATGTATAATAGATTACAATGATTTGAATAGTTAATGCTGAATAAAACATCAAATTAATTAAAAGAAGATTTTTATAGTAAAAAAATCAAGTGTTCTTTCATCTGTCAAACATATGGTCTCAACATGTTTTTCCATTCATTTGAAATAAATTATGTAAATAGATGTTATCATTTCTCATTGACTAGAATTTATTCATATATCTAATGTTAAATCATTAAATATTTTTTTTTTATGGAATAAATCAATATATATATGTATAAACAAAACAATTTGTCATTTAAAATATAATTATTTATTTTAATGGATATCATATTTATCAGTTCTATTGTGAATTATTATGTCAAAGAATTAAATAACATCTGTTTCACAAGTACTTCTATTAGAAATGTATACATATTATAAAAATACCGAATACTTATAGATAGTTATTTTTACTATATAACTAAA